GCCTCGCTTGGCGCACAGCATTAAGAGGCTAGTGTTAGGACTGGTCGGCCTGGTGACAGGATAATGAGACTGAGTGAGACGTCATGCTACATGTCTGCGGCATGATGCCCCAGTGATAGACATCACTATAAACTGCCACACTGCAGACATCGTAGCGATATGAATGAAAAATTGTTAAAGCTACGTTAAAAATCATAATCACATCACATAATCACAAACTCTATGTCAAGCATATGCCCCCTTTTGAGGAACATATTTTTAGATAAAACTTTTTCCGTCATTCTCTTTTCTCGAGAGAACAATAAAAACTACATAATTTTAAATCTCTACTCTATTCTTATCCTATGAACATCCCTTTTAGTTTCAATCGCACAAATGTAAACCTCAAACTTGTATCATGGTGCTAACAACACAATAGCCGTTTCTTGGTTATAAATATTTACTATATTTAGAATTACTTTGATTTATGCCGCTCAGGTATTTCTCAAAGAGGATATAACCCATAGTAGGTCAAAGATAAGCAATAAATCTATAAAAGCGAACTTAACTCTTAATATTTTTTTTTGGTTCGACAACGAGCCTGTTAAAGATATGCTTTGCTGGATTTACTTGTTTTGTCGACACTTGATGAATGGTCGAATGCATTCAAAATGCAGTTGGAAGATAATGGGAAAATGGTCTTCCCAATGTACGCAGATATAAATAATGATTAGGATTGATTTCATTATCTCTTTCGAAAAGAAAGCTTGAGTCAAGATTTGTTCCTATGATAATGGGGAATATTAATGAAACGCAGACGCCCTTCATTAATCACACGGATGCAAAGAATCCTTACTGAGACGTTTATATTCGCTTTTCATTCAAATTGAAGTTTTTGTTCGATCTTGTTCGACGATTTCGTTAGAAAATGTTGCTCGTACATTCAATGAAAATATTGATTTAAATATAAATGTTGTCTATAGAGAGTATCGTTAAATTACAAAGGCAAACCATGGACTTAATATCTACTTGATATTAGGACAGAAGGTTTGTTTATTCCATATCAGTCTTATTTCATATCTGTTTGATTGCCTATCGATTGCTTAAGTTTCACAGCTGTTGAAAAATAAAATACAACAGCGTCGATATTCAAAATTTAACTTGGTTATGATTGAACTTTTATTTCTGGAGATCCCTCCTATTCTCCGATAAAATTCGAATTCATGTAAAGCCCGTATCGTCATCTCGTGCTCGCAAAGTTAAGGATGCTTTTCAAATCAGATGCAAAACAGTCTACATGTCAGAGTGATCAACTACGTGAACGTTATGTTGATTATTTTTCGAGTTTCAGATAAAGAAACAATTGTGGAGCATCGAGACGGACTCATTAAGTTGTAATATATTTGTTGGGCCTATGGCCAAACCTGCAGGAGTCAAACATATCAAACCATGGTTCAATAGGCACTGCCTCACATTATAACTATATATCTGCGACAAGGCGACCTTAATCCACGTTTACCAGTACTTTTCCACATTCTTAAACATCGTTGTGGTAAGTTGAACCCGTCGTTGAGTCAAATCTACATCTCTGATACTACAGACGAAACGATATAGCACTACACATAAATGTTACACTCTGCTACAACCGCGGTTTAAAACTCGGGGGAAAAAATAGAAATGACTAACTTGAAAAGATCAGATCAGAGCATAACGGTGTTTTGTTTGACATCAAATTTATACATGAGTTGTCAGTTGATGTGTGGTTTAAGTACGTTCGGGCATCACGTACACTACATAATATAGACGACATCAGTTACTATTTGAGGCAGAGATGAAAATTTTAATAATAATAATAATAATAATAATAATAATAATAATAATAATAATAATAATAATAATAATAATAATAATAATAATAATAATAAAAGCGAATTGAAAACTGGCATTGGTATACAAAACTACTGCCTGAAGAGCGATTTTGACCTCAGAATCAGGTCATCTTTAAGTGTCATTCGTCACGTTGACCATGTAATCAATTGGATACTAAACCCAAATTATAAAATAACTGTACTGATTTACATTCCTGACAAATGTAAAGTCCTTAAAACCTCAAATAAGGCAAGGTTATCCCCTATGAATGATCGTTACACTGAGTATAATTTCGTTATGCTGAATAGCCTGTAGATTTTGACTGTATTGAGTCCGACAGTATGATCTCTGTTGAATAGTTCTCTGAAATCACGCAACTTCTGGCTGCTACCAGTGCTCTTGCTCATGGACAGCGTCATACCAGGAGTTAAGTGATATTGATTAGCCCTTCTAGTTTTATCATCACTAAGTGCTTGGGATGTTAATAATGTCGTTAACACGTTTAACAGATGCATCTGTGAAGCAAATGATATGTGGGTACAGAATAGTATATTTTGACGACACGTATGCACGACAGTGACCGTATGGAGCCAACTAAAGGTAGTATTCGAAACATGAAAAACTGATAAATCATTTTAAAGAAATAAAACCATGCAGTACAACAAATAAAAAATATAGTGCAAAAACGTGTTCTCTCTCTCTCTCTCTCTCTCTCTCTCTCTCTCTCTCTCTCTCTCTCTCTCTCTCTCTCTCTCTCTCTCTCTCTCTCTCTCTCTCTCTCTCTCTCTCTCTCTCTCTCTCTCGCAATGGTCACAACGCCATTTCGTCTGTTCCAATTCGCTCATTACTGTGGATGCCACACTCCGGTCTGATGTTCCGAAGTTTTATGTGAAGTTTTCATTCCACTCACTTTGCCAGGTGTAACAGATCATTTAAGCAGACATAATGGACAAATAATGAGAAATAGCGAATGTCCGATTACAAGAAGATTTTAGGATTTTAAATCAGATCGACGCAGATCATCAGATATAGATACCAAAGAAGGACGTATCAGAGACTAACATTGCTCAAATTCGTTTAAAATAATTTTGGATTATATATTTGTCTACATAAAGGAATAAGAAAGAAAAATCTTATTAGGTTACATAAGACCACAGTTTTGTTTTGCTTCCCACTATTATAATCATTTTGTTTACGAGATACGTTATAATTTTTTTATAATTATTTTTCGTCAAACAAGGCAGTGCCGGATTGCCCATTAAGCACATAAGCACGTACTTACGGCACCAGTCCAACTTAGGCACTAGAAAAAAATTCACATTAATTGTTGATGATAAAATTTAATGAATGACCATATCGAGAAGCATGTTCGAGCATTTTGATTTGGAATGATGGTAGCACTGGTAGTTTTCCACGTTTTGATCATTTAATATTGCTGTTTGGAGTCTTATGGGAGGACCGTAATAATTTCAGTGCATGAGGCTACGGAAGGCCTTAATCCAGCACTGAAACTGGGGAATCTATATACCATAAAGATTGATATATATTTAGCTATATTTCTCGATAAACGCCACTCAAATGTAAGTTAGATGTTGTATAATTTTAAACGTTTTAAATGCACAAATGAAGCGACAGATGGGGATACAATAAGAGATCAGTAGTCGTTCATGTTAGCCATATAAGCTAGACACAATCCGACATGTCTATAGCCATATACAGTTTGAAAAAATTCAGCAATAATCTAACGTTTTCCTAGACTAAGAGAAAAGATTTAATGACAAAAAATAAATTTCTACTAGCCCTATTCCAGTCAAATTACTGTTCAGTAACTTTGACGCTTTATTGTGGAATGATATATGGTGAGAATATCACCTTTTCTTCCATTGTCGTTGTACCTCAAACACTCTAAGATGAAAATCGGACTCCATTTCTTTGTAAAATGCTCTAGCGGCACTCTGATGGGTTAATATTCCCTTTTCATAATTCCTTATGTGTCTACAGACTACATGAAGGTCAATGGTAATATCCAAAGGGTCACTCAATAAAACAGAAGACTCAAAGAGCCTATTTGAAAACATGAAAAACATGTCACAGAGGGAGTGGAGTGTATCCGAAAGTTAATTAACGTAAGACTACAGAGTGTCATATTTGGCCTATGTCGGTTCATATCGTGATGTTTATGATGGTTCCGTATGCCTGATGGAAGAACTTAATCAAATGGATTTGATTGAGTCTGTTTGTACGGACAATTATTGATCAGATAACGTCGTCTTATCCATATAAATTACTTTATTATAACTTGGGTACATCCCTATGGAAGGTTATTGCAACTTGCACGTTTTGTAGACCGCAAATAAGATAGACAACTCTGCAGATCATAAGACTAGCCTGACCACTCTGTGTTGTATGCAGTAGTCGTCCTTTAATGATTTCAACTTGTTATTGTTTACATTACAAGACTTAAATGAATGAATGTTGGTTCAATCCAAAACCTGTTCATTTGTTCAGTCTAGAGCATAAATTAATTTCAGAACGTATACCATATATACAAGATCTCTCTCTCTCTCTCTCTCTCTCTCTCTCTCTCTCTCTCTCTCTCTCTCTCTCTCTCTCTCTCTCTCTCTCTCTCTCTCTCTCTCTCTCTCTCTCTCTCTCTCTTATATCTATCTATATGGTCGATCTGACGTTGCTTGTTCTACCAATTACTCCTAACAATTACAGGTCTGACTGTGCATTTTGAGAAGTCAGATCTACTTCTTTGACCTTTGCAGTTGGATTAGACTTGTAAGCCCGTATACATTGTGTGTGTGCGTGTGTGTGTGTGTGTGTGTGTGTGTGTGTGTGTGTGTGTGTGTGTGTGTGTGTAAAATTACTAAAAAATAAAGACAGGACAAAACTTTGTTATCTAGCAAAAGCGCTTTTGATTCTCATTTAGACTTTGTGGAAAGCGTTTGAAAACAGATATCACGACAAATATCATCACTTAATAAGAGATTGAATTTAAAAGTTTACTTAACTGTGTCAATTAATAATTCCATTAGACAAATAGTCGTGTAAAATTGTAGTTCCTTTAGAAATACAATTGTGTAAGGTAATATTTCAGTCCGACATTCCGTTTGTAACATATTCCTGCCGATTGACATATACTAACCGCTCCGGTTGCACAGTGGTTAGAGCGTCCGCCTCTGATGCGGGAGATCATGGGGGGGGGGTCGATTCCCGGTCGAGTCATACCAAAGATTTACAAAGATGGTACTAACAGCTGCCTCGCTAGACTCTTAGCATTTAGAGGTTAATATTTTGACTGGTTGGCCTGGTGTCATAATAATGTGACTGGTTGGGAAATCATACTACATGTCTGCGGCATGATGCACCAGTGCAAGGCATCACTAGAAACTGCAACACTACAACATCGTAGCGATATGACTGAAAAAATGTTAAGGCTGCGTTCAAAATTATAATCACATCACATCACATATACAGTTTAGTAAATTTAGCTCTTTCTTTTGTTTCTATCTCTGTTTACGAAATAGTCTTCGACAAAACCTCAGTGAGAGTCAAATATGCATATACTAATTCAAAAAAGTCCTACCTTTTTCGCTCTTAGTTATTTCTCTTTCTTTATCTGACGTTTGTCTTGACCAACTTTTGACACACTCAACTTTTGACACCCTCAATACCTTGGTGTATCGAGCGTACTTGAAAGGTCTATGATTCGCCGTACGAGTTGTGTTATTATTATTATTATTATTATTATTATTATTATTATTAGTAGTAGTAGTAGTAGTAGTAGTAGTAGTAGTAGTTGTTGTTGTTGTTGTTGTTGTTGTTCTAGTGGTAGTAGTGGTATTAGTAGTAGTATTGTTGTTTTTGTTGCTGTTTTATATATTGTGACTTAATCTGACAAAAAAGTAGACGTTATATCAGACATGATGCTTGCAACGACGTTGACGAAATACATTTTAATCGCGAGACGCTTCCCTTCAAAGTTTGATAACAATTTTTGTATGACAGAATGCCAGAAGGCTTATGGTACAAGTTCTATCATATTTGCCATAAATGTAGGATTTAGTTCAGCATTCACAAAGTACATCTGTAGTTAGAATCAATCATTTTTGACAATGAATATAAACTCGAATTTTCTTTGCATCTTATTTTTTATTGGCACTATATTGTCATAATTGTGTTGAGTTACCAGCAAACACTAAGACACGCAGATACTAAGTCATACAGACACTTAGACATACAGACATTGAGACATGCAGACAATAAGACATACAGACACACGGCATACAGACATTAAGACATGCAGACACTAAGGTATACAGACACGTAGACATACAGACACTGAGAGTTGCAGACACTAAGACATGCAGACAATAAAACAAACATACACTAAGACATACAGACACTAAGACATGCAGACACTAAGGTATACAGACACGTATACATAAAGAAACTGAGAGTTGCAGACACTAAGACATGCAGACACTGAGACATGGAGACACTCAGGCATACAAACACTAAGACATACAGACACTAAGGCAAACATGCAATAAGACATACAGACACTACGGCATGCATACACTGAGACATACAGACACTAAGACATGGAGACATTAAGACATACAGACACTAAGGCATGCAGACACTAAGACATACAGGCACTAAGGCATACATACACTAAGACATACAGACACTAAGGCATTCATACACTGAGACATACAGACACTAAAGCATACAGACTCTAAGGCATGCAGACACTAAGGCATACAGACACGTAGACATACAGCCATTAGGGCATGCATACCCTAAGACATGCAGACACTAAGGCATGCAAACAATAAGACACATACATTGAGACATACAGACACTGAGACATGCAGATACTAAGGCATACAGACACTTAGACATACAGACACTAAGACATACAGACACTAAGACATACAGACACTAAGGCATGCATACACTGAGACATATATACACTAATATATACATACACTGAAACATACAGACACATAGACATACAAACACTAAAACATGCAGACACTAAGATATGCATACTTTTTTAAATTAGAAAATCAATATCTCTAGGAAAGATCATTAGAATATTATAAACAATCGTTAAGTTAAAACAAAAGTCGGACTTTTTTTCTCGTAATCCAAAACATTAGTTTGTACGATTGATGAACGTGTCATAAGGCATATCTCAATTACAGTAATTTCTTTAATGAATGGGATGGTATCACAAGTGTCATATACAAATATCCTAAACTGTATGGGAAATAAATTCACATAATTTTAATGAAGTGCAATATTGCTATTATATAACTATGTTGCTGCTAACTCTCTTTCCAAATGACAATTAGATGAAGAAAAATAGGAGTTTAAATCCAAATTTTAATCTTGTTTTTTATTCCATTACAATATCAGATTTCCCCTTGACGACTAAAGTTTTGTTCTGAAAAGGAAACAAAATCACCAATTTCCGATCAAGTTCAAGCTTTAATTATTCTTTAGAAAACTACGCCTTTTGTATAAGAAAAATAATTCGTATTCCCTTGCTGGCAACATTGCGCAGGTTACGTCCCTTTATTCAAATGCCCATTGCACAATAGTCCATATACGAACTTTAACGAATAAAAATCAAGAACGGACGCGAGAGAAATTGCATGAAAATTACTTTTTGTGTTTATTATGGGCTCGCGACACGTCAATACAATACTGTTTTTAATGCTGGTTAAAAGGTTAAGGAAATTTACAAATTTGTAAATATAAAGAACAGCAAATTAAACTTAAAACAGAGTTGTTACTGTGTTTTCCAATGTCCTAAATCAATTCAGATGAAAGATATTTCTGTTATTCATGCCATTAATTTGTAAGAAACATTGAGTACTTGTAATAAGAATAAACCAAAATCAAATTATTGATGTTTTTGCATAAACAAAATTCGTTAGCATTGCTAATTCCTGAAGTAAAGTAGGCGATTAAAACAAGTAACATTTTATCTATGAATCTTTATAAGCAGTGAGCATTTTATGCATTGAAATTGAAGTGTATGATGCTGTGCAATTAGTGTCGAGATAAACTTTGCCAATGATAACAACCACCATATTCTGGTAGAAACCAATGAGAGTTCCTCTGCTGAATGGCTTTTATTAATTCTAAAATTTCATAAATGAAACGGAAAAGAAATATATTGCAATAAATCTGGAATGTTACTGTGCCATGTTTCAACAAAGTCCAAAGTTGATGCTATATTGCATATTTCTACTAAGTAAAAAAAAAAACAGCAATTTACAGACGAGAGCAAGGGTGACAACTACCACAGGCAACTTCGTGATCACAACCTGAAGAGTTACCTCGCTTACCACTGAGAAAATTCTAATTCGGCCATTTGTTGTAATATGCTCAATCAAGTTTTGCTACGTTTGGTCTCTTGCAAATAGTGTAAAGTAACACAATATCGTATCCATGACTAAATCTTTTGAGAATGATCAAAAATGTGTGTACCTTTTAGTCGCTATTTTAGTTATATCGGTATTATCGGAAGTAAACATGTATCATATATGAAGTGTTACCTGAAATATATATATATATATATATATATATATATATATATATATATATATATATATATATATATATATATATTACTGAGCTGTTTATTCTTTAAAGTTTGATCGCCATCAACATCATCATCGTCGTCAGTTTCTTCTTCTTCTTCATCTTCTTCTTTGGCCACATCCATCCATCCATCCATCCATCCATCCATCCATCCATCCATCCATCCATCCATCCATCCATCCATCCATCCATCCATCCATCCATCCATCCATCCATCCATCCATACATACATACATACATACACGGGAAGACAGACAGCCGGGGAGGGAGTTTGTTTAATTTAATTTACCATAGAGCATAAGGTCTCAGCGTTAATAAAGGTGTTTTGAATATGAAAATAGAGTAAATAGTTAATAGTGACCCGAATCGGAGACATTTGTGGCCTTTAATTTGACTAATTTCACTACCTTGGCTAAAAAAATGATGTATATGGTCTCCTAACTGATGGGGTTCTCCTATAAAGGTACGAGTTGTTATCGGTATACCGGTGTACCGCGAAATTTATTTTTCCTGTAGTTCGTACCACTTTACTTTTTCACTGTACCGGGCCGTCATTAGTTTCAGTCAGTAAATAATTTACGGAAATTTCCGTGTTATTATTTAAATGATATTAACGCCGTGTTTTCATTTATCATGACTAATTAGCTCAACGAATTATTTTGCTTTTTAAAATTGCTTGTATCTGTCACATATCAATGGTGAATATATTAAATATAATTTTATAACAAACACCCATTTAATATATAGATGTTCAGTATGTGTGTGATTCCGTATCTCACAACTGAAATTTCATATCGAACATACTGCCTGGAGCTACTAACACAACTTGAAATATTAAATAATGGTCAACTGGTAAAATATCCATAATGATTTCTTGCTATGCATTTTAAACTATTCAAAATTGCGAACACCCAAGTACTGAGAGAAAGAAAGACAGAGAACACGCAATTACTTTGCAGCTAAAATATTGTATTGATAATTTTAAAACTTCAGACAAGTGTGAAAGACTCAGGAAGTCACGATTCATGGGATGGTTATAAATGCCCCACATTTGAAGAAAACTTGACCCCATGTTTAAATGCTGACGGCCTTGACACTACTATATCTTATCATACTGGTTCAAATTTTATAGCTTGAAATATTCAAGAATAGTCGACTTATCAACTGTCTAGAATGATTGATTGCTATATATTTTAAACTGTTCAAAAATGTCAATACGCGTTTGTAAATTTAATATTTGGTGGGGAAGATAATCTTTTGTTGCTGGAGATAATGGAGGAATATCATAAATAGCGACGAAGATATCTACAACAGAGAAATTACGATTAATGGACAAAATATGTCACAATGAGTTTTCATTTGAAGTAAATATTTCCAATTGACAACAAAATGATGGAAAGACCAAGTACTTTGCCACATAAATCTTTTATTGAAAGTTTCATAATCCAGAAAAATTTACAAAATGACGGAGTTGTAAGAAATGTCTCCTCCTTAGGAGAAAACATGCAGCCCTGTTTAATTAAACATTTAAATTGGTCCAACAACTGATTACGTCCATTAAAACCGGATGGTTTGTAATTTGAAGCAGTCTTATTAGTTACGAC